GTGTTATGTAGGTATATATAATAAAACATATATATTATGCACATATTTTAGTGTGGGAGAGCCATGCTTCGGCACGAATGGGTCGGCTCGACCGGAGTGATACCACGGCCTCACAGAAAACCGGCGTGAAACAACCACAGTATTGTGTTTCGCCGTGTGATTGATGTTACTGGATGCCCAATCCTTCCCCTCTCTCAATCCTATAAATCTCCAAATCCCTTATCCCCAAAAGTTCGGCAATGCATTCGTAACTCCTCTGTTGCGAGTGTCAATAGAGCGCTGATTGCTTACCATTAGGTAATCAGTCTGTTCGTTTACCGATCTATTACATAAAAAAATAAACAAAAATGGGTGCATTTACCTCCCCATTCTATTTTCACAGCATAAACTTTTAACGTCGGCACCGTAGGCAGATTAATTGATAACTGCTAATTATGTACACCCGAAACCTGAGACTCAGTTTCACACCAAGAAAACCCGTTGCAAAAACTTCGCAGTAGGTTTAATTAAACTTTGGCGACTAATTAACGAATTACAACTTTTGTTTTTACTTGAGAACGAATACAAGTCTTCTTTGGCGTTACGTAGAGAATTTTCAGTGCGTATAAATTGTACCAGGTTGGTATAAAGTGATAGTAGTTGCGAATGTATATCTGTTTATACGAAGGAAACCTTGAGAATTCTTAAAGAGGTAACTCATAGATCTATATTGGAGAAATGTCCATGTTTTCTTTGTACTTTTAAAGATTTTCTTATTTTTTAATAAATTGTGAAAAATGGCCAGTTTAATAACTTGCGCTTTATCTGTATTACTGTTTTTGGTTTTGTTGCTGTGGTGAATGCGTTTGTATAAAGTTTTTGTTATAATGAATTTGTTTATAGAAGTTTCGAGAACTCCACTGTATTGTTAAGCTTGGTTTTGCGGTTTACTTTTCCATCTCTTAGTTGCAAGTTGTTTCATCCTTTGAAACCACAAAGATATACTGATTCATTTGCCAAAAATATCATAATTTATTTTACGACTATTTATCTAAAAATTAAAATAATCAACTTCGACAGTACCTAAAAAAATTAGGTAAATCTAACAATTGATGATTTTTTGATAAGCTCGTCCATCATTCGGGCCCGCCTTTAAAAATAGGCATGCAGGGGCTTTTTACCGTACCATACATTTGTACCGCCTACCCTATAGACAGTGAACCTTCAATTAATCAACTTCAGACCCTGGACCGAGACAGCCCTGATATAGGCAGACAGGTGATATTATTCAAAAGGTTATAAGACCAAATTTCGCGTAATTTGTCAAGCTTACTTATGGCTATGCTATGCGAATAGAATACAGAATATCAAATCATATTTAGGTACACGTACGTATGTATACATTTGTTTAGGGATGATTTTTTAATAATTACATAAAAGTTATCTGGGGAATAATTATGATGCTATCGCATCATAATGTTTGTATAAGACAGTGACAGCGACAATTTTATTCCTCAGATAATATTTATCAAACTATAAAAAATCAGCCTATACTTAACTTGTATTTTCAAGCTAATTAATCATTGAAATCTTCTCGGATCAGTACCAAACACATTTCGTCAACATATCATAATCAGTTACTCCATTCATCCGCCGCTAAGTTACTAAACTTAACCAACCAGTTACTTAACTCAACAAACCAACAGTAATACAAACGACAATGATTGAACTCCCACACTTTTATATTACATACATTAGGTTGTTGTATATCGCTGGAGGGAAGTCACTTCTTTTTGTGAGACAATAATGTCCCAAAAGGAGGCTGCGGAGCGGGATCGCAAAAGGGCCGATCCCGTTTGTAGAAGCGTCGAGGAAGCAACCGCCTCGGCGCCTAATACGCCATTCTGCTTCAACGTAATGCAGGCAAAACTTCCACCCAGTGACTCAAGGAAGACGGTGGCCAGCCGGGGTTGCGGGGTAAGCGCAATGATGCACGGCGACCTCGGCCCAGAGCAGGAGAAGGAACAGGGGGGTTTTTAGTCAGTAAGAGTCTGACACTCTCTCCCGCCCTGCCTTGGGCGGAAGAAGTCATTTGTTATTCCCCTTACAAAAAAAAAAGGGAAGACTGTGGCAGTGGTCACGTGCAGCCGTGCACGGTGAGGGTTGAAGAGGTCACGTACCTCTCGATAGAGATGTGCCATAACAGGTGTTGCACCAAGGGTCTCTGGAATAGGTCTATCAAGAGGTTCCTATGTCCCTTATAGGTGTTGATGGTGGTCACCGGGGAAGTTTTAGTCCCTAGTCCTTTTCCCCAAACTCCTTATATAATTTTCCCTCTACAAAAAAGGCTGTGTAACGTTTATAATGCACCCACGATGCAGGAGAAAAACCAAGTGTGTAGTAACGTATTTAAAAGTTATAAAGCTCATAATATAATACCTCAAATAGAACTTCTGCCAACTACCTTCATCATTCCCTAAATCCAAATCTAAGCTTTGTATAGAAAGGAGAGCGAAGTTCAATTGGTGTTGCCATAATTAAGAATGAACTCATGAGCCTCGACTTGCCGAAATTAGGGACGAAACAGTAATAGCTTCTGAATGTCCCATTTGCAGCGTATTTGCAAGTTTCTCAGAGTTTCAAAGAAAGGGCCTTTAACGTAATCAACTGTTGATGAGTTTGGGGATATAAAGCCTATTTATTTATACTATTTCATTTTATTTATGTATTTCAGTGTATAATAACAATATCTAGAGTTAACATTATATGTATTAGCTATTGTATTTTAGTCGTTTTCGTCTCTCTTTCTCTTTACTGCCTGTCGCCTGATGTTTGGCAATAATTTCTTTTTAATTAGTCAGAGCGTCAAAGAAATCGATTTGCAAGACATCCTGATTACAAGCAACTCCCAAGGACATCAACTACACAACAATAGAGGAGTTACATGTGCATTACACTTTTGAGGATTGAAATGGAGGAGGATGAAAATGTTTTTTTGTCAGGGTAAAACCATCAAATGATTTCGCCCGCTCAGGGTAAGGAGAGAGAGAGTGTCAGACTCTTACTCCCGTTCCTTCCCCTGTTCTGAGCCGAGGCCACGGTGCCTCATTGCGCTTACCCCACAATCTCGGCTGAACATCAGCCCTATAGGACCCCGTCTATGGTGGTCTATTGGCTCTTTGAGGCGCGCGCGGAACGCTACGCGCCGCCGCCGTACGTCTCGGGTCCTGGATCTGTTCGGGCGGCGAGCTAGGATGAGAATAGGTTAACTAGTTGAAGCAATCAATTACGCTTATTAAACTGCTCAAATATTACATTTCTAAGAGCAATCCCCTTAGTAAGGTTCTTCTTCAAAATAGAACTAAAAAAATATATTTATACATTTATTTTGACTACAAAAGTTTATACAATTTCAAAACTGAAATATGGAGTTTTCAGCTCAAGTTATAAACCTTATTATTGTATTCGAAGAAAGTTTGCCGCAGACAAATTAATTTAAATGTATGAGGAACATGTTCAGAATACTTGAATATAATGGAAAAAAGTCTTTTACAAAAGGAGTAATAGATAATAGACGTCTGAAAAAAAATATATATTTCGAAGAATATTATAATAATAGTCACGTACTAAAACTAAAGATAAAAAGAAAAATGTGCAATGCTTTTTTCGGTTTACTTACTAGAAGTTAGGGCGAGTATCAAACGGTCAAATAAGGGACAACCTACCAACCCTTTTTTAAGGGTAGAAAATCATCCATTGACCTGACCCGCCCAAGTTGGAGTGAAAAGGAGTGTTAGGCCCTTTTTTATGGTTGGAAAATTATCTTAAGACTTCAATGACTTTGTATACTCCTATCATGTCTTCGAGTAATTTAAATATGGTTTTACTGATAATGAATATTGAAAGGAATTAATGGTAGAACACAAATATTCCCGAAATCCTGAATAAAATTGTAAAAGATCTTTTTATTAACCTTATATTTTATATCTTTATATATAAAAGTTTTGTGTCACGTGTTTGTCCGCGATGGACTCCTAAACTGTACTAAACGATTTTATATTTTATTTGCATTCCGTGTGCGTTTTGATCCAACTTGAAAGATAAGATAGCTTACATTTCAATTTATAGCCGCAATAAGTATTATTTACCTTAACCACAGCAACGCGTGGCTAGTAGATTATAAAACTACAATGCCAACGAGCTTCGCCTCGCTTTCAATCAGACGTAGCCCTCACTCTCATACAATATGATGCGCATATTATGTCAAAACGTTCACCAAATGAGTGAATGAATGAAAGCTTTGTTTCGTGAACAATACACGACTAATGTAACGAAAGTAATGGCCAGTATTGTTCTGAGTGAATGATAAATAAGTTTCGTGTAAAGTATGAGTGTTACATTACGTATGATTGATATAATTTTAACTGGAGCGTTTTTGTGTTACGAGAGAAACAATAAGAGTGTTTTAGTACATACCTTATGAGTTTATTATTGAAAGTATAAATTAAAATGAAATATGAAAGTATACTGAATAATGTATAAGTAAATGGTGATTTTTTCGGCGTTTCATACGCAACAAACTTAAATCTCTACATAGAAACTGGTAATTTATTGAGGAAGTTTTCAGAAAGGATATTATAATTTCTGTCAGACATTATTTCATTATCGATCGAATTTCTATCAGAAATTACAATTATAATTATAATTAAAATACAATTATAAATCTGAAATTCTGATAGAAATTATAATATCCTTTCAGAAAATATATGTATATGCATAAGACATGTCTTAAAAATGAAGTTCTCAAAATAAAATCTACATATTGAATAATACTTCAAAAAAAAGTGCCTATTGCTGAGCTAAGGTCTCTTTTCTCAATAATGTTTGAGCATAAATCACCAAGCAATAATTAGAATTATAAGTCTAAGGTTCCTCATGATATCATCCGTCACACACAAATCTCTACTTACTATTAATAACGTACACACGGTTTAACAATATCTCTTTTCTTTCTATTGCAGATTGTTCGAAGAAAACGAAGACTTGCTGCATTTATTCGAGAAATTCGGAGAGCTCAAGACAGCTGAGGCGCAGATGAGCTCTGAAGAGTTAGCGGAACATGCCACGAAGGTGATGCATACCTTGGATGAGGGGATCAAGGGTCTGGGAGACATTGATGCGTTCTTCGCGTACATCAGACACGTGGGAGCTACCCACCATCAAGTCCCAGGATTTAAAGCTGAAAACTTTTGGGTAAGTTGGGCATTTATTTATTTAATTCTTTGTAATGTTTACTATATCTTGTTACAAAGTCGCCTTATATTTTTCTAGAGATGTGTTATGAACACGCTCCTGTATCGTTGTCTTAAGAATAGTGGTCCTTAGTCCTGATTCCCAAAAACAGCCAATAATAATTTCGTTGGTGGTGTATAAATATGTAGTAAATAAGTACATACAATTCTGATTGACAGACTATATTCTATTTTGACGTTTCAAAAGTACTTGTTTATTGTTTTAGGTGGTATAAATAATTATATAATTAAAAAAAAATAAAAATTTAATTATTTATAACTTTGACTTTGACTTAGGTGTGGTGTGTATATGATTTTCTATGTTTATGAAGTCACTAATGACAAGTTGTAGCATGTGGCGGTTTAAAAAAAAAACCAACATATTTTTTTTATTACAGTTATATATAAATAGCATTTCTTAGAAGTAGGTATGTTAATTATCGAGGTCAGAACGGTTAAGCGCTCCGGTGTAATCGAAGGATGTACCGGCTATTTTATTTTAGTCTACAGGTAGACCATAATCTAATCTAATTAAGTCGTGGATTTATATTTAGTGCCACCTGTTTCAAAATTAATATAATATTCTTACTTTTGAACTCTTATATTAGGAAGTATTCAATTGTGCATAGTGAATAGCAATAGGACAACCTCATATCACAATGTATTTCATAATTTAACAAAAAAAAATTACTGAAAATTATTTCAAACAGAACTATAATTCTTTGATATCGTAGTTACGCGTAAAGCCTTTTCAGCAACAAAAAAATAATTTTAAAATCAGAACAATATATAAACAAAAAATAAAACAAACAAATAATGTAGAATATTCAACAGAATACACAATTCCGAATACAAAATTTAAAATTTATTGGAACGGAAATTTTTATTTTTATGCAATTCGTATATAGCTGGCTGTATGCCAACCCTCAGGGTAAAAGAGCATGAACGTTAAGCATCTCATAATTCCGGACGAAAGGTTAGCTGAAAGCTCCTGAAATGTTCATAAAAGTCGCGTCTTCATTCGCTACGTTTCAGTAAAAAATGCAATATCTTCTTGCTTGTGTCTTTTTATAGCAAAGAGGGATATTGGCAATCGTACGTGCTGGATACTGTATTATATAGCGTGTACTTATTGATAAATGAGTAGATACTTTTTGTTATAGAAGTAAGTGTTTTTGTCTTATTTAAAAATATGATATGTATGGCTCAAGCCCGTGGAGTCTGAATGCACATTGTATATTTAAAAACATCTCATGACGCCTGGTCTACGTATCTCATGACCAGAGAGTTGTTCTGTTCTGAGGAGAATATTCAGGCATTGCCAATGCTGCCAATTTTCTGGATGTATCAATGCGGATAAGTTTTTAAATGGTTTGACTTATCTAATGTTAAGATTCGTTATTTAATATCTTCCACCGAAACTATATTATCTTTATCCCACTTACAATTCCTACAAACAAGAGCTACCACTTCAACTCAAGCAGTATAAAGCAAAAAAAGATACAAACATCAAAAGCAAATATTGCAGAAAACTTAATGAAATCTAGAAGCGGTTTGTTTAAACGAAGATATTAATTAACTGGAAGTAAACGAGCCAGCTTTTCAATATAGGGCCATAGTTACAAGTATGATACTTTAAGCGAGCAAACTAAGAAGAAATAATTGGAAAAGGACGGTTAGTTGGACGGCCCGTAATACTCTTACTTGGCGATGCACTTAAATACGACGTCCATTAAAAAATAATAATTTACATAACAAAAGAGTTTGAGCTCACAACTTAGCAACGACATAATTCTATTTGCTTATTTAAAAATGTATTGTTAGAATGGAAACATTGTCTGATAAAAGTTATTTATTAGGAAGTTTTCTGTCAGTTGCTAAAGCATTTTAAACTCTATCTGGCTAATTAAATATGGAATATAACAATTTTTTGATCATTTTTGTTTATTATTTAATCATTGTAAGACATAAGAATGTTTTTGAGAGGAAATTGGTTTGTGGTGAAGGTTTCAGATTTTTACTGGCTAATAACCACCTAGTTTCGTCTCCTGCTCCAGGACAAAGCCGTTGCTGCTTAACTTCGCACTACAGTCGGATATTCTCCTGTGTCATGACCCACCACCCAGACCCGAAACAACAATTTCTGGATCACACAAAGTGTTGTTCTGTGCGGGAATCGAACACGCGACACGTTGCGCAGTAGCCATTTGCCCAGCCACTATGCCAACCGTGCAGTCATTAGAATGCTGACGTGGAAATTTGTCTGTATTACTTATTATACGACTTATACAGAGTTAAAAATAACTATAAACGATACATACACCAAAATCCTGAAGTCTTCAAGAAAGCCTGTATAGATACAAGAGAGATAGAGTTTATATATAACACAAAGTAGTTACCAAGTTTCGCACGAGCTGCGCAAGACTTCGGATTGAAGAACAATATCATTTATAAAGTTGGGTGTTCTTTGTCGTAATATATCTTGTTAGTTTTGTTGTTCCACTATTAAACTTATGTTCCCTTTTAATAGAAATTCTGTTTCGATTAAGTTTTGTCAGAAGAAAGGCTAACTTTTTTGTTTTTTGATAGAAAAAGATTGAGTGGTCGTTCGTCCAATGAGTGAACTGGTCACAGTGAATAGATATGATTGATTTATGAGTCAACTAGCTTCCGCAAGTGGCTTCGCCCGTATGTCCTATTCCGGAGTTTATGCTATGCCTGTGCCAAATCCGTCATCCATCCAGATCCGCCGATCCAGCCGTTTTGGCGTGAGCGTGTAACAAACATCCAAACATCGTAACTTTCGCATTTATAATATTAGTAAGATAGGTTACTTTTATTTTATTTTTCAAGAGAAGATTTGCCTGGTATTTGGATTTCTCCCGTATCGTGGATGCGTTTACAAATTAACAATTTTACATACACATCACACCTAGACCCGGCACATCATCTGAATCTGTAGATCAGACAAAGAGTTGTTCCGTGCAAGAATGAAACTTGCGACACGTTGCAATGATTACAATTTGGCAAACATTGAATTCATACCATTTTGTTTTTACTTTATATAAACTAGTGTTTGACTGCGATCCCACCTAATGGTAAGCAGTGATGCAATCATTGATGCCAATGACAATTATCAATTTCCAACTGATAATCGTCATTAGCCAATACTGCAAAACTCAAAAAACCTCATCACACACGAAGGAGCTTTGAGCGCACTCAACATTCTTCCCAAACATATAGATAATCTCATATAAGAAATCATGCCATCTGCCGAATAATTGAACAGATATAAAGGCAGAATAAATTCTACGTTAAAGCAAAAATCTGTTTTGTCGACGTTATTTGATCTCCACGTATTGAGGCTAAGTGATGGAAGTTTTAACTTTATAACACTGGCTGCATTAGCGATCATTCTACACTTGGCTTATATTGGCACAGTTACGCTAGTCACATCTGCTCTTTATACTACGTATCGTAAAAATACTTTAAAATTGCTCTTCGACTTAGAACTTTGTTCCCTAGGGTAATGAGAAACTATAGAGCACAAACTTATGATATTAGGTATTGCGATTCTTATGTGCTTAAACAACCATTTTTTCATATACCTACATTCACTTAATTATATGTCAACACCAAAGGAATGATAAGTGCGCTGCCGAAATTTTGGAGTGTGGGATCCATCCAGGCGGAGCGATACCACGGCCTCACAGAAAACCGGCGTGAAACAACCTCCGCTTTATGTTTCGCCGTGTCAGCAAGGTTACCAATGGCCTATTCCTTTCCCACCCCAATCACTAAATCTTTACCCCCCAACCCAATCCCTAAATCTTCCCAAACACTAAACACGTAATCGTCGGCCAAAAATGGAAATTAGGAATATGGGGATTGGAAGAATGGGGGACTATAGCGGGACACGATTGGACCTCCGGTTACTTCACACATACAGTTTCGCACACCGCAAGCATTATTTCAAATTGATTTTCTATTAGACCATGATATCACTCCGATTGTGTTTCCATTCGTGTCGACAGCTATGTGTATGGCTTTTCCACACTTAAGTAATAGATTACATATTTGTGGGATAGTATACTACTCATAACTCTCACTAGCAACAATATGACCTAGTTTATACACAAAATTAGATAAATCACGAATCCTCTTCAATCCACGGACCATCATAAGATCAAAGGCAAAAAACCCAAAAGGAATAATTAATATGACTTTTGATGTAAGCTCTCAAGAAACCAAATTATCTTCTTTATACCGTTATTTCATTTATCTTATTATCATCCTAATTAGGTCTGCTGTGCTTCAAATTTATTAGGTACGCTTAGATAGGTATACAATTATATTCTATGTTAAGTACTAAGTTAATTTGCAATTGGCAAGACTAATTTAAAAAAATACGCAGTGTATAAGGGTACATACCGAACATAACATCGGAGACAAAGTTAATAATTATGTCCTTGAAAATGAACATAATTTGTAAAACTTTACGACGTTTTTAGTTCAAGGATGTACAATTTTTTTTTTCATAAGTATATAAAAATTAGTGTGTCTTCGTTAGTCTCGCTTAGACTCAAAAGAGGTTGAACTGACATGGCTTATTGTGGTCTTGAAATTTTAATAGTCCTGGGAATACTAAAAATAACGAAATAAAAATTGTTATATTTGAGGCGACACAAAGTTTGCCGGGTCAACTAGTCTACAATAAATACGGAGAAATTAATAAAATTCTTTTTGTACCCACAGAAAATCGAGCAGCCGTTCCTACAAGCAGCTAAGACGACTCTCGCCGACAGATACACGCCAAACATTGAAGAAATTTACAAGAAGACCATCAGGTTTATCCTTGAAAACCTGGTAAAGGGTTATGAGGACTCCGCAGTTGAAAACGGGAACGGACAATCTTGACAAAGCTGTTGACACTTAGTGTAGGTTAATTATAAAATTATGGTTACCATAACGTTTGTAATTTAAAGCTGAAATTGTCACATACTTTTTATTGTAAACATGTTTTGTATTTAGAGAGTATATTGTATGTGGTTTCTTCAATAACATCTACGTCCATATTAATTTTATTCTCTTGAAAAACTCTGTTCGTAAATCACACATTATCATTCGCATAGTCATTATTTTTCGTATTTCATTCACATCCCATTTATTTATATTGAATTTATTTGAGTATCGTCGCCTTCATTCATTCCATATAAACAACATCAGACTCTTCATTCACATTTTGGTTTTAAAAATTTCTGCATCGTCTTCACCTGCTCTAATTTCTTTATCATTACGTCATTTAATCATTTTTCTCCGTCAGTCATCATTCATTTCCATCGTCCATTGTATCATTTTCATGGCATTCATCTAAGTTCAAAGCATATTTCATTTCAATCTTTATCTATCAAAAAGTCTTAACAAAACATACTCACATATTCACAGCCACTATGTGTGACTATTATAAATCTTGATTTTAAAAAAATACATAAGTACCAATTTTTTTTTCATTACCTACAAATAAATTCTATCATAATTGATCTCAAGATGTTTTCAAAGTAGAAATAGCAAGCAATCTCAGTTTCTTCATAACATTTGGGAGTATTTTTTGTTTTTTTAGTTTCATCACAAAACCAACAGCCTCGTCCAACTGGGTTAACTCACTTAAGACAACTTTTTCTCTAACTTCTATCCATATATCATACACATTAAAATAATTTAATTCACTTTCATAAACACTAAAGTTGGGCCGTCTGCCAAGAACTAAGACCAGAGTTCTGGCAAGTTATAGCTCTAACTTGTGGACGCAGTAGGTATTGCTTAAGTTATTATTATTTTTACTGTAGATAAAGGAACAATTTTTGGTCCTAATATTTGTGTTCAAACCCACAGCTTGGTTAAGAAGTTCAAAACAAACTATGTCTTATGTCTGATGCCTGTAATGACGTCGATGATGAAGCAAATATTAGTTATCTAAAATACTAAGAGAATATATTAATCATCATCATCATCGTCAGTTTGTAACTATCTTATGCTGAGCAAAGCCTTTGCTCGCACCGAGAAAGAATGACCGTTACCATCGCGCTCGCCCGAGGGTGATTTAAAATTTACAATTTGTGTTCATCATACAATGTTTCCTCACGAAGTTACGATACGTTATTTAATACATTGTGTACTTAAGTATTATAAGGTTGGGGTATTTTTATTTTAGATTTGTACTTCTATTATTTGTAAGATCTTCTTTGTCTTTATCATTGATAATTTTGTTACCATTTGTTGATTTTATTTTGTATTTTTCTTCGCACATTCGGATGATAAATCTGGTCATTATTGTGTAAATGTAATTGTAATGTATTATGTACTAGTCTAAATATTACATTATTTAAGTACTTAGATATATTTATGCCTTCAGTATCTTTGTTTTATTTTTAATGGTTAAACCAAACGATTGTGTTTGTAAGTTCTCCCTCTATTTTCATTCGGCAAACGAGCAGACGGATTACCTGATAGTAAGCAATCAGCGCCGAGTACGAGTGCGTTGCCCACCTTTTGGAGATAAGTTTTACGGATTGGGAGAGGGAAATGATTGGGCCTCCGGTAACCTCACAAACACGGCGAAACACCACCCTGTGGTTGCTTCGCGCTAGGTTTCTGTGAGGTCGTGGTATCACTCCGGTCGAGCCGACCCATGCGCTAAGTAATGCAAACTTATCTAATGGGGAAAGAATCCATGTGCTCAAAATCTTTCTAGGAACGTTAGTACACATAATTTTAAAATCATTTTTCATTTATCGACCTATAATTGGTCTTATAAAGTAATAATAGCACCTCTTATACTTTCTGTCTATCAAAAAACTCATTTTCTTTCGTTCAAATACACACACACGTATATATAATACACAACATACCTACAAACGAGACTCGTACATAATCCGCGAGGTAATCTCGCAATATCTTCAAAAGCCTTTGTTTCAGGCTAAACGTAGCCGCAGTAGGAAACGTTCAGAGGTGCTCAGAGAACATTAAGATTCCCTTTGAATATTGATTACTGGCACATCAAAGATTACGACCTACTTTTTCTTTTTTTTTCACTTTTCTTTTTCACGAAAAAGTAGAACAATAAATTTACGTGAAACTGCAAACCACATTAATTGGTATGCAGGCATAATAAAATGTTTGATTTCTTAGTGGACTCTTTAAAAACCCATGACAAGGGTAGATTCACGTGAAGTCGAATTAATTCTTATCTCCTGTCACTACAAACAAAACAATAACCAAAATGAAATAAATATTTATACATATCTAGTATAAAACAAAGTCGCTTTCTTTGCCCTATATACCCCTGTACCTATGTACACTTAAATCTTTAAAACTACGCAACAGATTTTGACGCGATTTATTCAATAGATAGAGTGATTGAAGACAAAGTTTTATGTGTATAATAACATCCATAAATAGTAGAGAAATTTAGTATCAGCATTGCAATCAAGTTGCTCCTCGGAGTATACCAATATACATAAATATGGTTAAAAGTCAAAACTTCTGACACAAACCATCTAAACCTAGTAGATAGCCGACCAAGGAAAACAGCTCGCTCACCACTATAAAACAAAGTTCATACTTTATACATTAAATAACAGTTGCAGAATACTTCGATCCTGCATAGTTTATACTTCAGCTCTTTGGACTAACTAGAGATATTTTGAATCAATAGTTTCACTAGCGATTGGATACAATGACTGCCAGATATATAATTGGGTTACTACCTAAACTTTACTTGGTTTATTTTGAAAATCTCAACAATCACTTGGAGTCTGGATGGATACCCGTCGCAAGGTTAAGTGGGCTTCTGAAGGAATATTTGGGGCCGGTGTAATAGGTGTAAGCAGTTCGGAGCAAAAGGAACAGGGTGATTTTTAAACAGTAAGGTCTGATACTGCGTCTTGACCCTCAAGAAACCGATACTCGAAAAATAGTGTTTGTGACTGCAATCACAAAAATGATCGGCATATGACTACACGGCTGTTGTCCAACGTGCCGTGGGTGGACAGGTTGTTATTCGGGGCCTCTTCATCTTTTCTCCCTCTTAAATTATCTATAAATTCTTAATCTCTTTCTTATCTTATAGTAATCGCACCCAAGAGAGGAAGAAATCAAAGTGTAGAGCAACGACTTAAAGAAAGGTTAGTATTGGTATAAATATCAATTAAAAGAATGCAATATTATAATAATATTTCGTGTAGTTTTTGCTGTAAAAATTCCAAAGCCAATTCGGCGATTGTCTTTTGATTCATAAAAGGAATACTTTGTTAATATTCACATAAAATAGGCCGCTAAAAGATGACAAGAGGCTAGGATAATTACAATTACAATGTAATTAAAGCTACTGTTAGTAGCACGCAAAGCAATCAACCCTTACACGAGAAAACACTAGTTTGACAAATAATATGAGATTAAGACGAGTGCTTTGAACTGCAAATTACACCCTAGACTACTAATTACACAGTTTAATTACAATATTCCAAGTTAATTACCATATAGAGTATAATAAAATTCATAAAACTAGATTATACTCCATTGTCGTCTCTGCCAAAAGATTTCTTATCTATCCCAAAAGATCTCCTAAAAGGGTTGTGAAATAGGGCAGATAGCCAACCAAGATATTTATTCTTTGGCAACTAACAATAGATTGTGTTGAACTTGGATGAAATAAAAATCCTTAATCTTTTTTCTAGTTTTTTTCTTAGATTTCACTACAATGCTTTGGGATTCTTAATGCCGCATAGATGAAAGTAAACAATGCTAAGAGAAAGAGAGAATGCTGCTGTAAATCAAAAAGTGTGCTTCTGAAGGAGTATTAAGGCCTGAGAGTAACGCGGCCTGGTTTGGAGCGAAGAAGGCACAGGTCTGTTTTTAGTCAGTAAGAAGATCTGGTACTCTAACCCCACCCATCCATCAATGGGTCGGGTCGAACGGAGTGATACCGTGGCCTCACAGAAAACCGGCTTGAAACAATCACAGCGTTATGTTACACCGCGTGAGTGAACTGTTACCGGAAAAATAGAAAACAAAAACAAAACTGTTACTCCGGTAAAATAAAAATCTTTGAATAATCCGAGCGCATAAATTGTTACAAGTGGTTGTGGTGGCCCGGAGGTTAAGGCGCCCGCTTCTCATGCATGAGGGTGTGGGTTCCAAACCTGGCAAATACCATTGTGACTTTTTCCGAGTTATATGTACTTTCTATGATTATCTAGACACTACTGACATACGGTGAAGGTAAACATCGTGAGAAAACCTGGACTTATAATTTCTTATTATAAGTTTGAAATCGCCAACCCGCATTGAGCAAGCGTGGTGATTAATGCTCGAACCTTCTCCGCGTGAGAAGAGGCCTTTGCTCAGCAGTGGGCACTTATGGGCTGATGATGATGATAAATTGTTATATTACAACAGTCTGTGTTAATACAAGATTTCTTAGTAAACATAAAAATCACAACATCCCCATTTTCCTTTTCCTTGCAATAAAGAGAATAAAACACACATCATCATAGCTGTACGCTAGGCTTGCATGGGTTGGCAGTCACCGGGAGCTTGAGGGTAGGCGATGTGCTCAGCAGCTCGCCATTCCTCAGCACAGGACTGCAGCCTTTCGTGGCAGCTTCCGTTATGCGGCCTCCAAATGTTGGAATAATATTCCGCCTCCAATTAGAGATCTGAAAAATAAAAAATCATTTAGGTTAAAATTAAAATCTTTTATTGTGACATCTCAAATTAAATTCGGCGACATGAATATTGACAAGTCTTTTATCTAATTTCAGTTTATTATTCCAAATTAGTCAATTTTTACTTACTTTTTACACTTACTTGGAAGTTTTTGCATTTTTGTGTGAGTTATCACGGTGTTTGTACTACTTGCACTT